CTTTGGCAAAACACCTTTGCCGCCGGCGGCAGCAATTTCCCTGCGGACGCGACCACGGACTGAGCACGAGAACGCCGCGCGGAGGCTCTTTTCCTCTGGAGGTTTTCCCCGATGCCGGGGCAAATATTTCCTTCCCTTCCCCATCCGTCACCTTTAGCCGGTCGTTTCTGTGGACGCTTTACGCTGAGGCTGTTTTATATATAAATTTATGTGTATATTAACGCACGCCGAGTGGCTGAGCCTCTGTCTTGGTGCTCCGCCGCGGCCGGGAGGACAGCGGGCAGCATGGGAGCTGAGGATTAAACTAGGGAAAAAGAGGGGTTGTCGCTAGTGTAGTTGCGCTGCGAAGCTCCTTACCGCCGGGCGTCACAGACGGTAAAAATCCACGTGGGGTCAAATAGCGACAGGGCAAACTCACGGGACCAGCGAGCGAAAGGGAGACTTCGGCTCTGGCCTTCGGTTATCGCCTTTCGGCTCCCTTCCACGTGCTATCTGAACACCGGGACGCCCCGCTCCGACTGAGCGTCCGAGAGCGGATCTTTTCTGAAATCGGTTTTGGTTTGAATCACCCCGCGACAGGGGCCCTGATGCAACACGCCGACGTGGTGCCTTCAAACGGAGAGCGTAAACCGGCGTCTGACTTCCACGAGCAGCTTCCAGCTTCCAGCTTGCCGGCCCTGTTTTTACTGGTGAGGGCTGGTAGATAAGATAAAACCCAGGATTACTACTTAAGAGGAAAAAAAAAAAGACTTTTCTTTGTTATAAATTTAATGTTGGCATTAAAAAACACTCTTAGGTTTGCCTGGGCTGGAAGCAGGCCAAAGCATGATTCTGGCAAGGCCTCGCATCCCTGAGATCTGCTGCAGAGGGAGGAGAGCCAGAGTCTGGGGAAATTCCCTGGCTCCAAGCAAGAACATGACCTTAATTTGGCCCAGAGCAATTGGGACATCCTTCTTTCTCTCTCGTGCAGGGCTGACAGTGAAGTTTTCCCAATAAAAACAACTTCCAGGAACATAAGTTCTTTCTTCTAGGAATAAAATGGGCTTTTGGGTGTACTTTCTGGTGTTTCAATTCCTCTTCTTCATTGGATGAAAGAGATTTCACCAAGGCATGACTTGACAGAAAAGGCAGAGAAATCCTCGCAGTTTGGTTGCTGGAGATGGTGCCCAGGTGAGGGAGGGAATGGAAGGTTAATGCTCAAAAAAGCAGCAGTCCTGTGCCAAGCAGCTAATAATTGACAATTTTGTTAGTGCACTGATGCAGGCCATGCCAGCAAGGTCCTGGATGGCAAGGCAGGGCTATGGAAAAGCTCCCGTGCCTCCCTGAAGAGAGCCTGGAAGGTTCCTCTCGGAGCCGGTCTGTAATCCTGCTCCAATACCCACCGGCGGAGGTGCCACCTGATCGTGGAGGCAGAGCCTGGACGTGACAACAGGCCTCGTCCCGCACCCAGGATGGTGCTGGGGCACAGCAAGGACCCTCAGTAGCTGGAAGGCTTTGTTAGAGTACGACAAACTCTTCCTAAGGTGCTGGGATAAAGATCAGCGGGGTCATGGAGCCAAGACGCTGTTGTGCGCAAGTATAGCAGAGGTAGCCGCCTTCATCCCTGCTGCCGTTGCTCTGCAGGGGAAAGAGGAGAAAATGGAGAAGAGCATAAGGCTGGAGGAACACAGCTTCTGCTTCCACCCTCAGACTGGCCCAACGCGTTTGTGCAACCCCCTCGTCCATGGAAGACAGCAATGACGTGCCCGAAGCATCTCCTGCCACCTCCTTCTGCATGGAAATCCCTCACGGGACAGTTTGCTTAACAACTGCAACGACAACGTCCTTGGGCAGGCTTTGTCTGGCACAGGATGAGGCTGCACAGCAGGGCAGCTGCCACCTCCTCCCCTAAGCCTGCGCGCAGTGCTCCTAGCAACGGCAGGGATGAATTCAGCCTGGGAGAAAGGGGGCTGACCGCAAGGGAGGACCCGTTTCAGTTCGTCTGCCTCATTTAGGGTCGCGTATTGCCCACGTCATTGCTCGTGTTCCCTGCTGACAGCCTGAAGCCATCTGCTCTCCCTCGTCCTAGGCAGAGGGCTGCACCAGCCTTGCACGCGCTCGCGCAGCCCCCAGTGCTAGGAGAGCTTGGCCTTTCACTCCACCTTCTGGGCGAGGATAAACCCCAGAGCCAGAAGGTGAGAACCGAAGCCAAAACTGGCCTCCAAACGCAGACTGTCCCCCTCTTGCTAGCTCTCATCCAACCTGGCTGGCAGGCCGAAGCGTGCCCTGCTAAGAGCAAAAAATGGCACCCGACACCACAAAACCCCAAACTGGCGCTACCCGCGACCCCTGTTAGTCTCCAAAGCGAGGTCGAGACTCGAGTGGATCTGTGCGAACTGAAATACCACTTTGAATCTTGCAGTCAAGAAGTCATCCCCAGTTGCGAGCCTTGTGAGCAGAGGTGAAGGGCCGAGGAGCTGTGAGCACTGGATGCAGTTAAGGCATGTTCCCTGCTCACTTCCGCTAAGTTTAATGCTGAAGTTTTCCTTCCCCAAGTGCGATGGCTAAGAGCCGTCACAGAGCGCAGCCACCCCTCAACTGACAGAGGCAGCTTGGGAAGGCGTCCTGATTTAGCAATGTGATCTCAAAGGCTCTCAGCGTGGCATGTCGGGTCGCTCCCAGGAAACCATGACAGGCAAACAAGAGAGGAGATCGGAGGGGACGTACGTGAGTCAAAGGTAGTTTCTTCACAGCTAGTCCGGAGCTGGATTGCAGCGTTTTTTGACAGTGTGACAGAGAACAAGTGACTGCTCTCCCCTCCTTCACAGCCTCGCTCATCAGCTCCACCCGAAGGAAGTACTCCTAAGAAAAAAGGAACAACACCGCTCACAGGGAACTGAGACACTGGAAAACAGTTTTCTTTTTTCTTTTTTTTTTTTTCTAAACCATGGGAAATGACTTGCAACATGACTTTTTTTTAAAAACCAAACCAAACCAAACCCAAGTAATAATAAAAACCAGGAGAAACAAACAACACCTCATAAGGAAGGAAGTGAGGTAAGAGTGGGCAAACGCTGTATACAGAGAAAACACAACCTACGTATTTGCACTGAGATAAGAAGTCAGATTCTACGGAAGACAACACCCAAACACACAGTGTTTGCTCGACTAATCTGGCTAAGCCATCCCAACAGAAGAGGGCATAGCCCATGCGTGGTATGAATCTTAGGATCAGGATGAATCTTATTATAATCCTCCTTTATGCTACTGTCTTTGCCACACGCATCCCCTCCAAATTTTTCAATGCGAGTTGGACAGATTTTATAAGCAGATGCTGTCTCTCTCACTGCCTTTTTAATTTGGTTGCAACCCATCCTGCCCAAGACGGTCATCCCTTCCACAGCTGCCTCGAGACTGAACCCTGATGAGAAGGCAGCGTGATGGGGAGCTGACCCTCCCCTACGGTCTGCTCTGCCTCCGGTGTGCTCCTGTACCAGCAGAGCAACTCCTGCAGTTTGCAGGCAGTGGGTTGCTCAGGCAAACCACGTGTGGCGATGGCTCGCTTCGGTGAACCGAAGGTATCAGGGTCCTCAATTGCCCTGGTCAAGGATTTGCTTACCTTGGAGAGATTTTACTCACCCTAGCCAATGCTAAAATGTGTTCTAGGGACTTTGACATTAGCAAACACTTCTTTGCACGCGTCACTGCAACATATAGCAGGTTCCATTCATCCTCAGGATACATACCTGAGGAGGAGGAAAGATCATCGATAGCTTTAAAAAAACAACAATGAACAGCTCTGCAATTCTTCCAAGGCTTCACCTAGTGCTTTTGGAAGGAGTCCTGGTGCTTCTCTGCGAGAGCACTGGCTTGCAGAGCTGCACAGCTGTGCAGCACCCGTCCTGAGTTTTGTACAGTTCCCGATACCGGTAGCTTCAGTGTAGTTTCACGTTGTCCCTCAAGGTGAAGGCAGGATTCTGCAGGCCCAGAGAAGCATCTCCCAGACATGGCCTCAGCACTGGAGGAGTTTCTCAGAGCCATCAGCTGAGCTAAATTCAAACTGCAGGCTCCTCTCTGCTTACTGGGAAGAGACCAGCTCTTCCAAAGCATCAGTCGGGGTAGCTAAGGAAAGGTGTTTCTTTCCCGAGGGTGGAGTTGGTCTCTCTCCACTGCCAGATGGCCACACGCTAAAGAACATCCCCCTGTCCCTATCTCGTTGTGAAGGAAACTACAAGATCAATGATCGCTAGGATGGCCAGTGGCACCTGACGCTCTGAGAAGCATGGACTTGCAGTGTGCTTTGCTTTCCCACTTTCGAGCCAGGATGGGTACCACACGAAGGCTCTCCCTTACCAATATTGAAGCGAGATATCCTCTGCTGATTGCCAGTGATACACGGTACGTTCACAAAGTCATCTGCAAGCAGCACGGTGTCAAACTCCAGGCCTTTAGCTTGGTGGACAGTACCTATTAGGTAATCTATAACCAGCACACATTAGAAACAGGAAGGAAAAAAATATCATTCATCAATAGCGATAACATGACTTGTCACAGTGCTAACGGTCCTTTTAATTTCACTAAGCACCAAGTAGAATTAAGTGATTTCATTCTACGTTCACTTCACTTCTTTCCAAACATGAAGCATAAATAAAGCATCTCTGCCAGGAATTTAGACCACTAAAGACAACTTCTTTGCCAAGGAAAATGCCCAGTTGCCAGGAGCCTGAGCCACAGCCTGAAGTCCCAAACAGGAATGCTTTCTGTTTGGTGAGTTTTCAACTGGATTGTTTTGCCCCTCCCCAAATCTCACAGCAAGTTGCAAGGCAGCTAGCACAGGGATCCCAAAAAGCATGATGAAGTAAACACTGGTAAAAATTCAGCCTTTCCAGCTGCAGGAAATGCTGTGCCCAAATCCTTACTTCCCTATAGCAAAGCCACATTAAGCAATCCTTTGGTGGCAGATGCATTTTGCCCTGAACACCATCTAGAGTGCCAGACGGATCCCAAAAGTTGCTGTTCAACTTTTTTTCTTCCTGACAGTTCAGCTCAATCCAAATGTAGAATTTCTGCAGAAGGAGGTGGATTCAGTAGTGAAGCTGGGTTAAAAAAAAAAAAAATTAAGTGACTTCCTCAACCATTAAAAGACAGAGCTTGGCTTTACCTGCCAAAGCTTCTCCTGACACATGGCTGCTCTCAATCTTCTGCACCAGCTCAGGGATCCGCTCTTTGTATTTCTCCACTATTGCAATCTTCACTTCCAGTTCTTTGTCATCAATGTGCTCTGCATATTCCTTTAAACCAATGAAGCCCTGAGTCTCTTCCCATCTTTTGATAAAGGGGTCATTTATAACAAGGTTTGCTGAAGAAAAAGCAGCAGATAACATGAGTTTATTTAAAAGGTACATATGCTTGCAGTCTTAAATTCTAGCCAAATTTTAGAATAAATATTAGGGAAGGCAAGTGTGTCTCGGCGGATGGACTGCTGCTGTGGGATGCGGGGGACCTAGGATGTACTCCCCACTCTGCCACTGCTGTGATGGGTAGCTTTCAGTCAGGATCATCTCTTTACTGATGCAAAACACTGTAAAAACTAGATATTCTCACTGGAGTGCGTAGCCTCACAAGCAGCCTGCAAGCATCACTTTGAGAAACAGAGTTGGTATATTATGAAGCGTACAGATGTTTACGGAGTTTAGGATAGAACAACTGGCAAACATTGACTGAACTTATTCGATTTTGTCACTAGAAGTACATTTCCTAAAAAGGCTGTGAAACTTCCATCCTCGGAGATAGTTAGAAACTTTCAAACTTGACCCTGCTTGGAGCAGGGGGTTGGACCAGAGATCTCCCACGGTCCTTTCCAACCTGCACTATGCCATGTTCCTACTCAGATGGCAAGGAGTTTTCCTAAGAGCTCATACTCTAAACAGCCAGTAACAACACCCACATAATCACTCACTCATGGCAGTTCAATAACTTTTGTTTCCCTTTGCATATCATACACAACAATCCTTGCCTACTGATGCCAAGGCATAAGGACATCATACAGGCACGATCTATTTGCTAAATGACACCCACAAGCAAAGAGGAAGCACGTGCCAGGAGATTCAGTGTGCCAGGTTTTTGTTTTTTTTTTTTTAAAGAAATACAGCTCCCACAGGAGAAGTCTTATGACAAATAAAAAATGAAATCAAATCAGAAGATCGAAGGGGAAAAAAAACCCAACATGTCAGTTATCAGGCTCTTACCCTCAAGATATGGCATCTCAGAGGGAAGCTGGAAGGGGCTACATGACACAGGCCCCGCAGTTTCTGTGTTTGTGGCCCAGCCAGGCAACGAGCAGTCACGAGCAACTGAAATAGCACAGCCTACGACACTGCTATTTTAAAGTCAGTTTGCAAGACATAACAGCATGAGAACTTCTAGCCTGGTGCAAACGTTAAATAAAATATCGCAAATCATTTCGCTTTCCATCACCACAGCAGAAACTAAAACATCAATGCTGCTGTACGGAGGATCACAGAGACAAGGGCGAGAACATACTCACATTTTTCCCGTTCGTCTGCCGGTTGAGAGAGCTTCCAAATATCATGAATTTTGCTCAGTCCGAAACGGGCAAGCCCCTAAAACAAAGAACAATTACCTTAACATACATGTGTCATTTAGAGATTATAGATAAGCTAGCTGGGCCCAATGTTTATTGATGTCATTAGGAAGCAAATAAAGGAAACATGCTGAAGATGCAAAGGGAAGCTGCTTTCCTAAAACACCTGAGAACAACACAGTCAAAGGCAGCTGAAAAGGCAATGATTTAGCTCACTCCAGATTGTCACACGAGACAGACGGACAGCGAGAAGAGAACAGGCTGCTGTCTCATCAGCGTTACAACAGAGCTACAGCAGAATTTTGCACTCAAAGGCTCTTCAAAGAAAAAAAAAAACCCTATAAAGTTTTCTCTTTTGCTGACAAGAAAGCTTTTTTTTTTGGTCCTTTTAGTTCCAAATAGATGCATGCTAGTTCATTGAGACGAACTGAAGAACTCAGTTGTGCGGTAAATGCTACCAGCCTCCTGGCTCCATGCTGTCTTGCAGGACAGACAGCTCCAGACCCGACTGTCTCCCATAATGTACCGCTTTCTTTAATGATGCTAAAATTCCTATGAAAACAGTGGGTCACCACAATGAAGAGAAACATCACGCTAAACCAGCTGTAAATGCCTCAGTTTCAATATAAACTGAAACAAAATACTTTGCTTTGGCAATATTTACTTTCAGAAAGGAAGAAAAAAAGAGGGAGTGAAACAAATTATTTTTTTTCTCCGTGTTTCCAAATGCACTTTGTTTTCTTCTGTCAAAACAGTGACAGTCTGTGTTTACACTTTTCATTCCAAACTGCAAAGACAGGCAATAATTTCTTCCGGAGTAAGCACTTCAAGCATTCACTCTGTTCTGATAGGCAGCTTCACAAGGCAAAAAAGAACAAGAACTTAAAATAGTGCGCAATTCCAAAGAGCAGGCTCTTCCCCAAACACATTCAGTACGAGGACAATCGCTCACTCTGTTTGTGCTTCTGCATCTCTCGTTGCAAAACGAGAACACCTCAAATCCTAGTTACCCATTTTTCAGTTTGAAGACTAAAGATTCTTCTGAGGCTTTTGAAATGTGAAGCATTATTAAAGTGTTCTTGCAATTTGAGCACCCAAACAGCTGCACACACGTGCATGCAGACACACAGACAGACACGCGCAAACAAACTCTCTGCTCCTTCTCCAAGTACACAGGTACTTTTTGTGAATTCTGTGCAAACCTCAGGCTGCCTTAGCTTTGCTCCCTCAAAATCTTCTAACGGCCATGGCAGTGGGTAAGTTAACATCCAGCATTTCTGAAAAAAATCCCCAATCCACTCACCAACAGCGGAGAGTGCTTACGCTCAGCCTGCATAAGCTGATTTTTACAGCTGATTTTTATTCCCCTACTGCAGGAGCACTAAGCAGCTGCTGGCAGCAAAAGGCAGTCAGCAGCGCTCCATGTAACACAAATACCGGCAGCAACTTGTTACAGCCACATCTCGCTCTTCCCCTGCTCCAGCCCCATCCAGCAGGATGGCGCTGCCGCCGCTTCATCCGAAACTGAGGAAGAAAAGGTGCAACATTGCCCAGATGAGTCTAAAACGGGAGCTGGTTTGAGGAATAGCTACTCCAAAATAACCAACCCTTCCCCAGCCATGGCAAACTGCTGCTTTCTCCTTGAATATTAGCTCTACACCTGGGTACTACAGACCACAGCAGACAAGACACACCTATTTCGAGACCCAGGTAGGTGTTGCTAAAAGTGCTAACAGGCTTGGGGACATGAACAACACATCAACAATTTCATCTTACCCCGATTACATGTATTTTTATTGGTCTCTCTCTACCAGTAAGTCTCACAGCATCCTCGAATACATTAAAATTGCTTCGTGATAAGACTGTTATCTTCCCTTCCATGCTGCCTCTCACATCACCTGCACACAGAAATTCCCAGTTAGCCAGTGCAGTAAGACAGCTATCTAGAAAACAAAGATCTTCATAAATCAGGATTAATCTCGAAACACTGTGTATTATGCAGTAGCTCTTTGACTTCCCGGTAATCGAACAGAGCTGACTCTGCCACGTGGTGCAGAGGCACAACTTACCTTCTTGGTTTCCACCCACCAACGTCTTATTCCTGATTCTTTTGCAGACATCCAGAATGGTTGCTCCGACATAAGCTATTTCAGGACCAAATCTGAAACTCTGTGCGGAAAAGTGAAGGAAACAGAAAACAGGGAA